ACAGTCAGGAAAGTATGTACAATTATGTGTATTAACAGAAAATCGGAAGAAAAATATTGTATGGGCATTTGCTAGCAAGATTTTTTACTACGGGTTTTATGCTGGTCAGTTTGTATTAACGACTGCGAAGTTCGATTAAGTAACTTTTCCTCCATTGCCATTAACAAGTATACAATTTTCAATATTCAGCTCGGAACGGCGCAATAGAGTTTCATAAAATTTGAGGATTTTACTCAGTAAGAAGTAAAAATATACCACAAACCGTATGGTGACTTTAAAAAAATTATCCACATCACATTAGCAATAAGCACAGTTGCAGTTTCCCAATCTGCATATGCTAAAAATATTTTGGAGTATACAGGGCACACGATAAAAGTACCACCGACATCAACATTTTCTTTTCTTTTCGACTATTCCATCGGACACTAAAATTTTACTTTGACTTCTGAATTAAATTTGCAATAATTTGGTACCTCAAAGACCGGCAATTTAATTTTTTTGCAAATAGTATTCTTAGGAATGGGTATATTAAACATACATTTTTCAGAAACGGTATAAGCTCGCTTTCTTTAATTCAAAATTTCATTAGCTGGTTAAATACACTGTCTATAAATTGACAAAGTTGCCATATTTCAATCGACTAAAACTATACTTTTTGTTAGAAACTTTATTCAATTCCTTACATTTATTTACCTATTTTGTCGTGATTTTTTTTTAATTGAGCAATTTTATTCTCAAAGAACAGCCTGTATAGTTATGATATTTTTATCTTTCCTGGTTTCGGCGAGACAACAGCGCCATCATCAGATTTGAAATTTACACAAACTACAAACACCAATCCACAATTAAAACATGTTGTATAAAAAGTGTAAGTGTTAAAACATTTATCAGTTTTTGAGGGAAAAAAATTCTTCCTTCTCAGAGAGCAAAACACTGGAAAAACTTACCTCATGATTGGTAAAAATCAACGTTCTTTTAGGACTTTGCCTTCTTGAAACCTTAAATTTGTCTGAATTATTTTCTACTTTTGCGAGAGTGGTATGCATGTATTGAGATAAACAGAAATAGTTTTAATCAGTGTACTGGGTGTTCCATACTTATGGCTTTATTAGGGTTTGGTAAATGTAAAGGTTGTCGGTATCTGATCTGAAGTTTACTGCTTTTGCATGTTTTTTTATTTGTATCATTTCTTGGATTCTTTTTTTATTATATTTTGTTTTCCCAGCCAATATATCCGCGTTGTCAAAATCGAAATTATGCAACATTTGGTATGCATTGGTAATGCTGTTTTATTTTCACTAGTATTTCTCAGACTCTATTTATGTTCGTACATTCTCTTTTTTAAATATTGTTTAGTTTGTCCTATATATGTATGTATTATCACATTCTAAACAAATCACTGTATATACAGTATTTGGTATATCCATTTTCTCAGTTTTTGGTTTCAGTTTTGGGAAACATTCAGTTGATAAGTTGTTTTTTGTTTTTTTCCGCAATTATAATGTTGTGTCGCTTTAGTATTTTTGAAATTTTTTTATTGATTTCTGGAATATGTATATGGTAGTGATATATATGCATTGTTTCTTTGTTCCTCATTATTGTTATATTTAGTTGAGTTGTAAATCTTGTTAATTCTTCGCTTTATTTTTGGTTCAGAATTTTTTTTTGGGTAGTTGTTATTAAGTAATATTTTTCTGACTTTTTTAAAATTTTCTTGTCTGTAATTTGGGTCTGATAATTTTAKAGCTCTATCTGTAAGTTTTCCATSTATACGTACCTACGTAGTATACAAGTACCTACTTGTACCGRGCAGACAAGTACCTACTTGTATGCTCGGTTAATGTGGTGCTTTGTAAATTTATTGAGTTTTAAGTCGATGTTTACATATAGGTAGATATCGTAAAATAATCATTTAGGAAAAAAGCACTTGGCTCTAATTTAAGCCGTATTAAAAATTTTCTGCAATATACACAATGAATTTTGATGCCCGTTCTTTTATTATGAGCTTGAATAAAGCAGTCAGGAAATTTTTGAGCTGACAGCCAATTGAAAACTGATGAAAACGACAGCACTCCATTTAGAATGCATGAATGTGATATGATACTGGCATTTGAAAGCCTATATATTTGAAAAAGTTTGAAAAGTTGGCAAAGCTTTTCAATTGGCCTGTGATCTGAAAGACCGAAATAGGAAGTTTTTCTTTTCTATTTTTGCCAGCTGTATATTTGTAAACTTTTCTAAGAATGATCGAGCGATTTCATAGGCAAACAAATTGGAAAGTTTTCGAACTTTTCGATTTTCTGTAATTCCAGTTTAATTTAAAAACATTCCATACCGATTTACATAAGTAATCTAATTTAAACAATCGGCATCGTTATTTGTATGAAGCTGAAAATATAGCTTAACGGTGAAACATGTTCAATAAAATTAAATGTCGATATAAGGGTCTTCTTTATATCCAGTCGCTGCAATAAATGCCCGCAACGCTGGCCACCGCGATTGTCAGATTTGAATAAGTGTGATTTTTTTCTGTGGGGGACTTTAAAAGAATTTGTACATTCAACGTCTGTTGAAACTACAGAAGACTTATGGAATCGTATCAGCAAAAAAAGTACCATTATAAAAATAGTATTCAATTATTGTAAATTAAATTAAAGTGAAAAAATTTAATTTTAAAGTTAAATCGTCAGCCATCCCTATTTTAGCTTCAACTTACACTTTCACAAAAAAATGTGCACAAAAGGACACAAAAAATTATCAGGAAATTTATAGAAAATTACCCAGAAATCCTACATATGTTTGTGTAAATAACTCGAAAACAAAGGCAGATACGAAAAAACTGCAGGAGTTTATTAAATTGAACAACAAACTCAAAAATTTGGTCGGTCGAATTCAGTGTCGCCCCACAAAAAAGTCGTTTTGCGAGTTGTAACAGGGGCGTTTGCCTGTCGAAATGAAAACACAACATAGATTTTCGCAATCAGTTGGCTTACCTATGGCTGAAGGGTCTAAACAGTGGCTTACGTTCAACATTCTCATAAACTAAAGGAATTAAAGACAAAATACCAATATAAAAAAAAATTAGACGCTGCATCTCGATAATCATGGACCTGAAGCAAAAACCTAGGCATTTGAGGTCCTCTACACGCCCCTGCTCTGTGTCGACAAGGTTGTAAATCACCCTGTATAGTGTGCTAGTCACTTAATAAATAATAATTAATATTTCATAATTTCTTATGAATATTTATGTGCTATTTCAACTGGGAGATCAATTAACAGAATCAATAACTGTACCTTCAGTTGGTCCACAAAAATGTAGCACAACTGTTTCAAGTCTGTACAATATCAGTCACCACTTAATATCCGCTAAATATTGACACAACCGTAATCGTTTAAAATATATTTTTTGTTGTACATTTAAGAATGACATTGCATCAATACGTATTAATTGTTTGAGATTTGAACTGCTGAAAGTTTTTGAAAAAAGTATAATTTTGTGTTTTTGAAAATACTGTATAAAAGAAAGCGTTTAGAAAAAATGAATGAAAAATATGTAATGCTAAATTACTTCACCTCCTATAAATAATAATGGCGTCTGGAAAAAAACCATAGGCTCATTTAACGAGGGCACTGAAGAAATTGTATTAAAACAATCTAAGGTTTGCATTATTACCTTCTTTCAGAGCTTTGTAGTTTCCCTCTTTTCTGCAGGCTTTGGATGCTTTTAATATTTCGAATTCCACGCAATATCTGAAAATGAAAGCACCATCATTAATAAAGCTCTACGGACATTTGCAATTTTGAAATTTCCCTGTTATTTATAACTGTTCATAACTGAAGTGATTGCATTTCAGCTGAAATCACAGCTACCCCTAAATAGAATGAAAATATCTTTAATCTAAATTGTATCTATGCATTGCGGTTATTAATAATAAAACAATTATTGACAGCATAATGATTTACCAATCCCTATCGGAGTTTAGTCCCATCCTAAAATTCAGGGATGTAATAAAGTTTGATAAATTTCCGTCGGTGATCGAATTATTATTTTAACTCTATTAGCATAAATTATTATGAAATGTAGATATGCAGCTCTTGTCTGGAATAATGACCGCTCATGTTTTGTAAAGGACATTTATCATTTATTTTGGTAGCTGGATTTATTTGGTCGCATCAAACCCACCAACTAGGGGAATTGATCATTTATATAATTATAATTAACAATCTATTGTTTGAAAATACAATTCTTCAGGTCAATCCATTATGTGCGATTTAATTTTTAGTTTGATATAATTTGCTAATAATGGAAATGACTCCCGAAGCGAAATTGAAAACTAATTACAATGTATTTAAATGGGTATAGAAGATTAATCATCGGGGGAATGGATCTGAAATGCGTATTACGTAAAATGTGATTATGATGAGCTGGTTATTACCGAAAAGAAAACTAAAGCGAAAGGAAATTAAGTTTTGTTAGGGTCAGTGGAAACCAAGGAGAAAAGAGTTATATGGAATCTGATAAAGAGAACATCTTCTACCTGCAACTTTAAAAGTATCGTAACTCAATATGTGTTAGGGTTGTTAAGTTTCCTGAGAGCTGGACAAATAACTGTATAACTACAGTAATTGTTGAAATGTTTAACATTAAATGTGTGGATCTTTTAAGTAGCACGTAGGAGAAACTAAAACTACGCCTAAGATAAAATATATCGCTTTTTTATAGTCTCAATATACACACTTTCAATATATACAGTCACACATACAGTCTTAATTTTCCTAAACTATCTAGTCTATTAGAAAGTAAACCTGTTGTAATTTTTAATGCAGCTAAAATGCTTTTCAAGAAGCTTAATTCAATTGGAGAATTTTTATACAGCAGAGTTATTCTTAGCGGAGCCATTTCTAGATCAATTAATTAAAAATATACTTATGATGTTATTTTCGGTTAGTTCGAAGAACAAGTGAAGTTTTTGCTTTATATATTAAGAACTAATATCGCAAACATATTATTGCTTATGTTTTATACATTAATTTTTTGCCTGTTGTTATGCATATTTTTCCATAAATATATTTTAAGTATATAGACTGTTTGAGAAAAAAAATTGTAATCCGCTTTCAATTTAGAGTTACTATTTAAACTAAAAAATATTGTATTGTTAGTATTAGGAGTAAAAACTTCTCAAACTGCAGTTTGAACTGCTGTAGTTGTTACAAAAACAGATTCTTCATAATAAATATTTTTTAAATGCGACGTTTCTAAAGGTTTGGAGCAAAAATAGGGTGTTGTATATCAAGTATAAGTTAGTTTCTGTTCGTCAGCTCTTTCTGCAAGCTTCACTTCTTTCGGCACAGTTTCTGAAAAAAAGTGCAACTTTTACAGCTTATTAACAATAAAAATCGTATATTGTTATATTTAGGAATATACGATTTTTATCCTCAATCAAATGATTTGAAACTTTCCCATTGATGATCCGAAACCTTAATGTAGATACTTTTTTGTTCTCTGTTGTTTATAGAAGGTAATATGGTTTTGGTAACAATTTGTGTAGATAGATGTTAAATTCTCAAAAAATTAGGCAATTTGGTAACTTGTTCCACTAACCACGATTTTATAGATTTTAATGTTTTTGACAAAGATAGTTCTTGAACAATTAAAATTGTATTACAAATTTTATAAGGCATTTGTGGAAATGTTTAATAACGATTGATATAACGGTTGATTGATATATATATATAACGGAATAATAAGGTAATTAATTAATTAAAACATAAACATGTTAAACTTTACATTTTCGTTAGTATTATTTTATAAATGCTGCACATTTAGTCTTCTTCATTAATTTTAAACTATTGGACTGGCGTTTCGAACTGAATTTTTCTAAGTGGGCAAGAGCCTTTATTCATTTCAATCGGTGGAACGAGCAGCCCAATTGACCCAACCTTTTCGACCAACCCATTTGCCTGCAAATATTTCATTTAAATTATTTTGTAGGTAGGTATCTGAATTTTATAGTGAGGTCAAGTTTCACCTTATTGAAGCTGAAACTCACGGTTTTAATTTCCTGGTGGGTAAAACCAGTTTTGACCTCAAATAATTTTCCACATGTGTTTAGTTAATTAGCATTCTATTAATGTCGAAATGTGCTATTCTATGGACGGTGGCGACATGGAAATAATTTAATATTTAATTTAATAAAAATAAATAAAAGTTAGGCATGTTCGTTGTAACTAAACCATTCGCAATTATAGACCGTTTCACTACCAAAGTTATGTAACGCTAATGGCAATTGTAATGTCTGGTTTCAAAATGAGAAATAATTGCTATTTCTTCTAACAAAAATAGCGGTTAAAATTTCGTATTCAGTTTCTGCGCTTTGAGCTCCGTTATTACATTTTAGATGCCAGTACTTCAACGAAACCCGATCAGTTGTTTAGGAATTATTTCTTCTGTACTTACAAAAATCCTTATATTTAATTACTTAACCCGTCAGGTAAATGCGAAAGTATCTTTCATATCAATTTGTTTCCTATTAACTACTAAAGGAGAATTGAAGGATTGTTAGAACGAGTATAAAATGTATTTGAACACGTTCAGATGCACAAAACAAACGTTTTTTAACATAATTTAAAAAATTGAAGAAAACTCCCACAAAATGTGATCCTCCGTTAAAAAAAATGGGGGTCGAAAATACTACAATTAACAAATTATAAGTCACTTGTTCAGACGTTTGTTTAGTCGTTCTCCTATAAACGTTTAAAGACGTCACTATGTATAATAAAGAAAACGTTTGCAAAAGCACAACATCTAATCACATTTCGGCGCAAGATTTAAAATAGTTAACCTTTGCATACCAAAAATTTTAAAATTGATTGATGGACAGCACTGACGCAGGTAATCATTTAAATAAAATGTACATATAAGTAATAATAAGTTTATTGCGAAAATAATTAATATGATTTTATTCATGAATAAATATCAAAAATTTACGGACATGTATTTTTAATTAGCGTTTTTTTCGAGAGGTTCGATAGTTTATATACATTTGAAAATTGGTTTGCGTTGAAAGTTTTGTTAAAAATGGCCATAGAAAATTATAACCGGTTTTGTAGAGCCTTTCAAAATAAATGTTTAATTATTATTCAAACATTTATTGTATATGTATTTCGTATAATTTTAGAAACCTCCGTCGAATTCTTTTTTAATGGAAAAGTTTTATTAGCATATAGAGCACAAGGATACTTTTAACAGACAATTCCATCAAAAAAAGTCGAAAACCATCCTCGAGGTCCCTTCGGGCAAACAAACTTTCCTGCACTCCTGGGAATTGGTACAGAGTTTTCCTAGAATGCGGTGTTTGACAGGGAAAGAACATTTCCGTTGTGAAGGAATGACCGCCAGGGAGACCTACCAGGCATTTCGCTTTTCTGGCGTATGTTTTTATTTTATTATAACTGCCTATCGACCTACAGAGGAAAAACCCTAAATTAACTATAAAAGAAGAAACTTTTAATCGATCTAATTGTTCAAATTACTCTACTTCTACGTCTTTTACTTGACATTATTTCGTTTATCTATGGAATTTTTCTTAGGCATAAAACATGTGCTGTATTTTTATTGCTTGCATTTTATGTACATTATTTTCCACTGTTTTTATATGCGTTCAATCTTGCACGTGCAACGGAAATTATTTCAATCTTGAAAATATTCCTTAAGAATTTTATGCCTTACTGCTTACAGTGATTACTGCTGCTAGGAAAGTTCGGAAAACTGTTCTTAAATAAAGTGTATTTCTTGAAGATATAATTTCAACGTTGTTGATAAGCAATATTTTAAAGTAGTTCAATGGTGATTTCCAGTCACACTGAAGACTCATGTGCTTAGAATCTGATAATGATAAGTTAAAAAAATATAGTAAAGAGCAGAAATGCGTTCTGCTCACTTGTGCATCACTTGTTGAACGGATAGTGTTAAGATAGAAAATATGGTAAAGACAGGAAGCATTTACATTATTTGTTGAAAATAGATAAATTAAAATGGCGTGATTATGAAACGAAACTTCCAAGAAAATAGCGAGAAGCTCCCACCTACTTTGTGCGTTATGACTAAAATTTGGTTTACATCAGGAGAGCATAGGGACGATACGATATTGAGAAAGTATCGATACGTATTCAAATGAGTAGTAACCAAATCATCTTGCAATACTACTCATATGAGTATTCTGAAAGTATCGATACTTACTCAAATGAGTAGTCACCAAATCGTCTTACAATACTGCTCATATCAGTATTCTGAAAGTATCGAAACTATTACCTGCTCACAATTTTATTGACTGACTCGATATTGAGTGACTCTATGTATAATCGTCATAAACACATTTTAAGTATACATTTTCTATGAGTTTTTCAAGACCGAAATTCACAATTACCGTGAATTTTAACTGTAAAAAATCCGTTTAAATTATTTATTGCCATAAGGTATACCATTAATACGTATCTTTTTTATTCAACGCACAATTTCACGAACCTTAGATATAGCTGTTTTCACATTTGGCCATTTTAAAGCCTCTTCAACAATGTGATTTATTGTGTGATCGAAACAGGGCAAATATTTCATTGAGCGTACGAGTAGCTAGATAGAGCATATGCATTTTACTATTTTGAAGAAAATGACATGTCACACATAAGAAACCTCGCTCGTTCATTCTTTCTGTCCAAATGTCCCATCTGAGACAAATACATATAACCTTTGACAATTTAGCTTTAGCTATAGCTACACAAGCTTCATACTTTTCTTGGGTCATCTTTTTTAAATAAGCTGCGTACCTTAAAATTAGGTTGAAGCACTTTCGGAAGACGTAAAAATGCTTCTCCTTCCACAATGTTGGAAGACCGCAAATAATTGCAGACAAAAAACGTTAAAGCCTGCACTATTTTGTTGTATTTTAAACCTTCCTCCAAAATAGATATATCTTATTATAGATTATCTTGTATCGATTATATTCAATAAATAAAAATTACCTACTATAAATAATGTATTTACCTGTATTGGCTGAAATTTGTAGAAATGCGTCTTTTTTATTGATAAATTTATTATTGAAAATTGATAAATGATGTTTATCAATTTTCACTATTTCCATCAGTTTTGATAATTTGATTATTTACGACGATACGATACTTCGATTCGATACGAGTACTTTATTTCGATACCAAGTATAGGTATCGAAAGGACGATTTAATTACCAAAGTACTCGGTATCGAAACAAAAGTATCGAATATCTACTTGTATTTACTTGTATCGAATCATCCCTAGGAGAGCAGCATGTCGAAGGAGGTAGCGCCAAGGAAATATCAGGGGCAGAAAGAACTATTCATTTTGTGACTTCACTAAAATCCCATTTGTATCAGGAGAACAGAGTATTTGAGAAGGTGCGGAAACATATATTCATCACAAATAATGTAAAGCTGAAACATGTTGCGTGTCTTAACGAACATTCGGTTTGCATCCCGTTAGGACCCGATTTTAAATTTTAACGTAACGCTATTTTTGAATAGCTTTACGAGCTGGTCAAGATTATAACCTACAGCAGAATGTTTCAGGGGATAGAGCTGTATGCAAAGTAATCAAATAACAAATTTCACAATTTACCTTGCTAATCAGAAATACTAAATATTAATGAGAATAACTTGATTTGCAGGTGCAGTCCTGATTTGGTTGTTTGCGAATATCTTAGGTTTTTATTGAAACTTAGTTTCTAATGTTTTAAGACAAATTCTATATTGTTAGAAAAATCGCTTTGCACATTCTCAAGCACTTACTCTGCCTTAAATACTTTACAAAAAGGGATCGTGTTGTAGTATATCTACAATAATAAAGTGTCGTAAAGTACTGGTACTAACGAACTTCTTATTCCCAACATTTTGCGTTTAATTTTCACAAGAAGCCGCTTATACCTATCATTTTATGACCATCTTATATTCATGTCTTACATATCACATCGATATGCATCAATTTAATGAAAGTTACCGTCGCTAGAAATTATGCAGTAAAAACTATGTTAAAATTAAATCACACCGATTAGTATTGATATTTTTGTTTCTGATTCGTTTTTAAGCTGAGAAAAACTCGAACTACTTTCAACTCATTTTAGTTATAGCTCCAATATTAAATCGATTCGTTGATGAGTTTTCTTCAACTCATTCTACAAATGCACGATAATCAAAAGTCACAAGTATTTCTATCCAAAACCAAAGGCTTTTAAAAATAAATCTAATTTTATGTGAATAACGCATTAAGATAAATCCTTCAAGTCGTGAAAAAAGGCGAAACCTAACTATCGCAAATTGCATTTAGGAAGAATCCTCTAAGTAGTATTAATTTTGTGAGTTCAGTATGGTTAATAAAGCACCAAATTACAGCTGGAAATTAGACCAGAGGGTAATGCATTCGGCTCCATTATTCCGAGCTTCCAGGAAAACTACGTAAAGAGACGGCACATTTAGAAAATAAACTTTCCAGTTGAATCGGTTCATGAATTTTAACCACTCTATTTCAATGTAGAGCGCTCTTGTTTTCGCGGCGTGGTTTCAAAGGAGCCTGCCTAACGTATTCTCAACCGTTATATTTTCACATTTTTTTCTACTTTTCATTTAATTAGTGTTGGTAGAAAAATAATCAGAATTCCACTTTGAGACAATGGTACATCGTGATTGGTACATACTAATTGTACAAGTTGTTTGTTTTGTTTGTTATAGCATGGGCATGTTCTGTTCGGTGTTCGTTCCTATTGGAATTGAGGTCGTTTTGTAAGTTCTTATAAGGAAATGTAAATCTGTTTTGGGTACTGTAACATTTTACAGTTCAATGTTAAGAAAAACCAAAATTGAAAATGAAAAAAACGCATTTTTAAATGTGGTGCTCTAAAAGCTCTTCAAAATCTGAGCTATTTTGTTTTTGCTACAATTGCATCAAATGTTTTTCAATGCCTGACTGGAATACTTGCATCGTAGAAGGACGTTGCCAGTTTAATGAATTATTTTATTTTGATTTATTAACTTAAAAAATGTATTTCTGATAAGAATCTACTCTGACAATCAAAGTCGACTTTCTTAGAAAATGGATTGGGGTAAATAAATTAAAGATACGTGATTAAAAGAAAAAATAATTAATTTTTTCAGATTCTGAATGAAGTTTATGTTTAAGATCCGGGGTAAAATAAAACTACTGTAAATGGCGTCCTCTCAGAGCATGGCAAAGGCTGAATGATGTATCTTATTCCTGCCACAAAAAGCCCAGAACTTTTCAAATTTTCAATTGCACAACTCGAATTCTTCTAGAATAATTATACGAAAACAAATTCAAATTTTAATTTTTACCACTTTGAAATCGAAGCATCTGGGAGACATGTTTCAAAGAACTTTTTTCCATATTTTTCTTACCGGCACCACATAATCGTTTCAGTATCTATTAAACCTTCTAAACTAGTTTAATTTTTTTTTAAACATCTTAAATAATTTTTGAACCAAGTATTACTCCGTTTACGTATTTGATATATTAAAAGACTAAAATTTTTCAATTAATAACTTTGGGTTTGGGTGGGGGAAACACCCGATATATTTTTATTGAACAACCTGAAACATTTGAACTCTAGACTCATATTTTCGGATGATTTCGTTTTACCATAGTAAAATTATACAACTTTTAATAGAATCTCTAACTAGTTTGTCATTGAGGTGGTCGCTTTTGTGATCGTCTATACCATAAATACACATTTAGCAACAATGAACTACCATTAGTAGCAGGAAAAACATTTATAAATAACTATTATAGTTATAATTATAGGAGGGATGTGTAATTGAGTGAAAAACCAATGGAAAAAAGGGAAATAATTGCAAGTCGGGAATATGATAATGATAAAATTACGAAATTTCTACTTCTGCAAAATTTCTTTATTTTTATATTACTAATGACTATTTAATTGACGTAATGTAATGATGTTAAACCACAGAAGATGTTCTAGTTGTGATGAAAATAGACACACACACGTTCTGTTTGACACTAAAATGAAATTGTTAAAGCTCAAAACTATTAAATGTTTAAATCCACTAAAAAATAATTAAGCACTTAAATAAATTACATTGAAATTAAAAAAAAGTAAGCAGAGCAAAAGTCATTATACAGTGATAATTAAATCGATTCCATCCTCCAACGAATTAAAGGCAACTGAATAAAAAAAATTTAAAAACTGCTTCCTAAAACATCTATGCGACATTTCCAAAAAAATAACGAATTATTTATATGAACATTGGTTTTGATTCACACATACAAATTAAATTTTCCTCATTAATATTAAGTATGTGAATACATCTTGCTTTATGCGATCGATAAACAAAGGTATTAGGAGAAACTAAAGTGTAAATAAGATATTATTTAAGTCATGGAATTATATTTATCAATTGTAATTAGTTGAGAATGACATAATTCTTACTATATTACGTGAGATTTATGAACAAACTGCTTAATTCATGACAGAACTGCAGTTTTCGTTGGTTACAGGAATGTTTGTGGAATGTTTGAAGGAAAGTTTCTTTGTGTACAAAGTTGATTAAACGACAGAAGAGTGGCTCGTAATGAAACAATTAGTGGATTAAAGTATCTTTTGAAACAGCTCTTTGGCTTTACGTACAAACCCTAACGCCAATAGTCTACCAAGAAAAATGCTAGTATTGATTAAGGGAAAGTTTCATCTCTTTAATGGCAAAGTTTCTTGTCAGCAAAATAATTTCACATATTAGTAAGATTAAACCGCTTTCACATGCTTCAGCTAACTTCCAGTTAAATTACATGAATAAATATTGTGTTGTCAGCATGAACTAACTTTCGTGCTTCAAACGGAAATTTTTCTAATTTACTTTAGGTCGCTTCTACCCTCAGCAGAAATATCGATTTGTTTAATTTTCTGCTTTTCTAAAATTCCGCAATAGCGAAACGTTATCAATTTGCACAGTTCCGTTCGAGCATAGAGCGTCTTCCAGATGACGGTAATAAGATTGCCTTTGACAAATTCAAATTTCAGACAAAGAGAAATATGATACCTGGGAGGCAATTTCGACCGTTTGTCTTTGCCTAGATAAGGCGCAGTATTTTTCATTACGGAAAGCCTGAGGAATAAAAACGGTTTTAATAAAGCTGTTTAAGTAGAGCTTCATTAGTTGCGAAAACGCGTTGCTGACTAGTGAGCTTTCAACGTTCCATAGGAGGATAGTTTTTAATATTTATGTTTTAAATTCATTTTCTGCCAAGTAAGTACTAGAACGAATTCTGAAAGCTTGATCTCCATTTTCCTTGTATGAACTAATGTTCAATAAAGCCCGCTTTGCTACTAATTCCACGGTGAAAACTTCCTCACTACTTTAATAAGAACACTATCGAAAGACAAAAAGTTTCAAGTTACGTCTGCACCTTTTGCAGATAAACTTTGAAAAGTGGAAGACATTGGGATTGGTATATGCACACACTAATATCGTCTACTTTTCAAAGTTATTCAACAGTTTGGTCAAGACTACCATTTCAATTAGCATAGAAATTTAAAGTTTCTATTGTTCTATTTTGTCAGGAATTTTAGTATTTTTAACCTGTATTTAAATTTTCAGTAGTGTAATGCAGCTCGATACCTCGGAAGAATTGTTATGTTCTTAAACATATATGTATATGTACTTATAAATTTTTATGCTATAACGCAAGAGTGCGCAGAATAATTTGGATTTAGAACTGCAAAAATAAAAATCAACTTGAGTACTATAA